ATCAAAAAACACTGAATCAGCTCTTTTTAGAATGACATGTGGCTCGTGGGAAACTCGGAGGCGCGCCAAAGTTACCGCTCGTGAAGCAGGCACAAAGCCAGCAGTGACTGAACGCGGACGATTAGATTGTTACCGCGTTCCGCCACTGCTAGCTTTGCGCTTGTTTCGCGAGTGGTAACTTTGGCGTGCCTCCGAGTTTCCAACGAGCTTTAAGTCGTTCGAAAAAGAGTTGATTTAGTGATTGTCGGTGACGCTCAGTTAGTTTCTAATTGGAAGCATAAGTTAATGAACAAAATTTAGTTAATTACTCACCAAACAGTGACAGTTGTTTGCCCCTTGAACGTCCGCCGAGCTCAAGAAACGTATAGCGAAAACGGCATTCACGTAGCACTAAAGACACTTAAAAAAAATCAGTTTCGGATGGTAAGTATTACCCGGTATATTGTCACGAGTGGTGACCAAAGAAACAGGAAATAAACAGAAAGAAATGAACGTTTAATGTGGCGAACTTGTGCCAAAAATAAAAGGGTACAAAGATAATAACAGAGCGTCGCGGGCGTCGAAGTCGGCGTAGGAGCACAGTCGAACGCTGGGGCGAAAACTGACTCCGGCTTGCCATGCGGAGCCGCTTCTGTACACGCTTTGGCTTCTGGAACATTCGACGTAGAAGGTTCGACGCGTAGGACATTCTAAACTCGAATCAGCTAGACGGTTCGCGAATTCACCAGAACATCACATTACAGTGTCAACAAAATGCGTAGCCGCGGCCAGGAATCGAACCCTGGCCCTTCGCGTGGGAGGCAAGCGCGATAACCGTTAGGCTACGGCCGCGCTGCCTACTTGGCGCGCGGCAATAAACAGGGTGCTTTTTTTTTTTTTTTTAGCTGCACCAAGTTTTTAATCAAAGGGAACGCAAAATAGAGCAATTTGAGCCCTGGGGAAGTGTTAGTGGTCATGGCGGCCTTTAGAAAAAAAGGTGAAGTTAGGTGATTATTTAGCTAATTAACTAAAATGTTTTCACTATCTTTTTAAGTTTTCACTTGAGGGAACATAATGTATTTAAAGGATTGAATATCGATCACAATATGGTCTAGCCCTGTCGTCAAATTTGGATAAAAATTCCTAGTAGGCGCTACGGGGTCGAGAAATGTCACTTTGATAAATGGCGTCACACCGAAACTAAACAGGACAGAGCGCCGGTAAAGTTATCGCTCCGCTTTTCCGGGCATGCGATTCCTCATTATCGCGGCCGACTCCACTTGCTTAGGCGAAGCTGGCTGCGATAACGGCGATCCAAGGGGGCCGGAAGGGCGGACCGATAACTTTACCGGCGCTCTTTCTCGCTTAGTTTCGGTTTGACGCAGTGTAGCAAAGTGACATTTCTCGACCCCGTAGCACCTATTACAATTTTTTTTTATTCAAACATTGATGGCACGGCTAAGCCAAATTGGAGGTCTAGCTTCAATTCTCTGATTACATTATGCTCCACCAAGAGAAAAATTAAAAAGTTAATTAAAACAGTTTAGGTAATTAGCTAACTAATTACCTAATTTCACCTTTTTCTAGAGGCCGCCATGGCAACTAACACTTTCCCAGGGCTCAAAATACTCTATCTCATAGGCGTAGACTACGGGAGGGGAGGGGGGGGGGGGGGGGGGGGCATCGGGGTCAAAGGAGTCCGCTTGCCAGGTATAGCAGTCCCAGTGTCATTCAGTGGGTGAGGGGTACCTGGAAGTATTCTGACGGGACATTCGACGGGTCTTTCACACTCACTGGTGTGCCACCTTTTTATAATTGTTATTTTGATTTTAGGAGACGCTTAGCAGGTATCAATACCGCTACGCTAAGACTGGACAGCGGTTTGATAAAACCTGTGAGCAGTTTGGTTATACACGGCTACGCTAAACTTCAAATCGAGGCACGTCGAACGCTCTTTTTTAACAAAAAATGGGGAAGGACAACACCACCGAAAATCAAGACCAAAAAACGTCTTTCTCATCTTCTATGAAAGGGCATAACAGTTGAAAAATGCCGACTCAGCAATCGGATCCGAGACCGACGCCGAGCGTCCTTCGACAGGCTGACTGAACAGAAGGCCCAACCCAGTGTTGACGTAGCTTTGTGTGCAAACTGTGTCCCCGTTACATCTCACTGTGATGACATCGAAATTCACCGGCTTTGACTACTCTAGGTGGAGTTGCGGAGTTCCAGCACGTTTGAGAATTGATTACAGCGCCGTTTTGCAGCATGTAGTGGAGCTGTTCAGTCAGCAAACTCACTTTGAGATTGCAGAAAGACCTGGAATTAATATTGACATGGTCCGGCGTCTCTAGTCTCGATTTTATACAGCAGCATATCGGTCTCGCGGACGCAGCAGTCTATATCGTTGGTTCCAGGGTTTTTCTCTAGCAGTGTTCTAAAATTGAAGGACATTTCCCATTTAGTGGGAAATTTATAGCTGCAAGGGACAAAGAGAAACTTTATCTAAACGCTAGTAAAATATTAAAAGAATATAATAATCATGTGAAAAATGCTGTTTCGTTCATTCGCTGCTCTAAAGCCAACATAAAAATACAGCCAATAGAATCGTCCGCCTTAGTTAACAAAATAATAAAGACTTAGTTGAACATATAATGAATATTAATGTTTCAGTGCGCATTTGGGAACGAATTGAACCGACTATAAATGTGTGCAAAAATCTATAGGCTTTCTCAGTTTAAGTCTGACCACGGCCTATGCTACGATCGATGGCGCCAATTAAGAGCGCCGAAATTGCATTATTACGGCGCTTGTTTCATTTTTAATTTTTTGCCTTTTTTGTTTTTGTTAGGCTTGGGGACGATTGCGTGTGTGCGCATATTTTTAAATGATCCACATTTGTGACTAAACACAACTGCCTGGGGAAAATTTAAATTTTCGCCTTCCGAGAATGTAAAACCACTGTTGCAGCACTGGTGTACAGGTCGACTGGACGTCCACAAGAAGAGCAGCAGCTGGCTTCGTTACCAATTGATCCGGGTTGATTGAGCTTTAATGGAGCATTCTCGTTCGTTAAACCAGGTTCTCATTTTTGCTCCGATTGTTCGGTGCCATTGTGTCTCACGCACCGATCGGAGTTGCAGCAAGCACTCACTCTGCCACTATTCGAAAATATGTTTACATGTAGTTTATGAGTGACTACTTCCTTGTAGATGCTTGACACACCTTAGTAGCTGCAACTGAAGCAGTAGATGGTTGTTTCCCTGACAGAAAATGCGAACGATTTATTGTTTTAAGTACATCGATAAGCTCATTTATTTCTACCCTTCTTTTTTCGAATTTTACTTGACTTTCGTTTTGATTTACAGTAGTCCTACGTCTAATAAACCTCAGAATCTCAGTTTAACTCGGGTCACACGTTCCAGGTCATTGATCAGTTCTGATTTTAAAAGGGAGGTTCCCCTAGAGAGTTTCAAAAGCATATGTTACTTACGCTTTCGTGCTTTTCTTTCTTCCCTTCAGTTGGCATTTCTTCGTTCTTTGAACCTGGTAGAACCTCCTATGCGTGTCCAGTGGTAGTTGTGCCACGTGGTGTCCTCTTCACTCGAATGGGGTTTGTTCAGTGTCACTCTTCTCTTCAGTCCATCTAATCGATGATGTGCCATTCTTTGAATTTCTTTTGCCATTCTTGTGTCCGTCTTTAACTGCAAGCACCTTTCGCAGAATCCGTCGAATAAATATGTCATGTTTTTTTTTTTGTAAGAACGTGTACACGAGAATAATTTTAATGATACCGCCATAAAGGAATATTTATTTACGGATTTCCGAAAGAAATATTTATCTAGGTATTTATTCAGTTCAGATAAAAGCAATGGCGGCCAAGTCCACGTGGATATGAATCGTTATTTAGAGGAGTTTACAAACGATTCAGCTACTTGGTTAATCACTGCTATTTAATATGACTTCCTTTAACACGATTTAAGATACATTTGAAGTTGAATATTTCATAACACATCCTCATAAAAATAACTTTTCCTAAATCTGAGGGAAAGTTTTTTTATTCAAATTATTAATTATTAATAGGTATTGAAATCTTCCTGAAATACAAGACTCAGCTGAAGAAAAAATTAAGATCGTGCCATCAGTGAAGAGTGTGGCATAATTATTGTTCAGCGCAATTTCAAGCGTTTTTTTTTTTTTTTTTAATGGAGCCTCTCTGTGCGCAACGTTTTAGGAAGTAGTGGGAATTTTGGAACGAATCGTAGATGTTGATCGTAAACTTCTGATTTTTGTTTCCAACGCTTCTTCCAAACTTTTTTTTTTCTCACATTGGCAAATATGAACTTAGAAAAACGCTTCGCTTCTCTCGACCCATTGTTCGCAGGCCAAACAGAAATAAACAAAAAGTATTTTGCGCGTTACCTAAAAAAAAAAAAATTGGTGAGAGCAAAATTTAAAACAAGCTCCGACATGTATACCCGACAAAAATACCAACGTAAGCTCAAGGAAATTAATTAAAAAAGTACAGTGTCCTTTCCAATAATATTAATGAGCTTAACACCAGGAGAAAACAAGCAATCAATGAACCGATATAAACTATTCGTGTACATCTGCGTTTTCTTCGGAGATACTTATTGTTACGAGAGAGCATGAGTGTAGTCTGTTTTTGACAAACTCAGCTGCGCAGCATTTCATGGTTTGGGCCTGTCAACAAGCTGAACCGCAGCAGGTGCTAAGATCACAGGACATGTTGCAGTTTTTTCTTTTATATTTTTACAGTTGAGATGTAAGCTTCGTTTTGCGCTCAAAATGAAAAGTTAGTCAACTTCACAGGGAGACGTTCACCTTAAAGGCGTGCCAGAAACCCGCTGGTGTTTCTCTTTCCCACAATTTACAATGCAACGATGACGTAAAACTGAGAATGTTTGTGAGTGAAACGACATCCTGGTTCTGACTTTCGCATGTATAAAATGACCACACATCGTCGTTTATTCGCTCAAGTTTCTGTCTAATGTACTACGATGGCAGTTAACGTGTTTACCATTCTTCAACTGATCGTCTTTGTCGCCATTGTATTTAATGTCAAGTGAGTTCCCTTTAATTTCCTCTGTTCTTCATTTCTCACTCAGGTATTCATCTAACGGCGAACTCATCACAGTTACTGGTATTATGCGTCTAGCGAATCAAGTGCCTTCAGACGAATTATAAATCCTAAGCTTAATCTGCTCATACGGATTGTAGAACAAAATAATTTGCCTTTTGCTTCATCTTAGGAAACTCCAATTAATAGGCATTTTTTTACGTTTGAGTTTCTGTTTTTTTTTACTCAATTCCACTATATGTATTACGTTGTTAATTTGCGGAGTTCGTGTAGGCACTGGAAATTATAACAGACGACGTTAAATTGTTCAATATTCTGACCTTTGTATTATATCGCATTTCAATTAAGAAATGAAATGTTTAATACAGCGTTTTCAAAAGGCCAACGAGCGTTCAAAATTACCAGTAAGTAAATAAACATTGAACTTTATATCCACAAATGATGTCCCACAATTCATGGAAAGGTTATTAAAACGATCAATGTTAATTTATTAAAACCGGATTCCTTATACTACAGCATATTTCCAGAATTGTTATTGATTATATCTTTCGTTGAGACACATTTACAAACAATTTATGGACAGCCTGCTTTGAAATATACTGGGTGAAACAAGGAGACGGTAGGCTCTTTAAATCGACCGGAAAATTTGGTTTCTTAACCTATCGCGCCACGACTTTGTGCAGCGTTGCCCACAGATGGTGCATTTTTTTTGTAAAATTTGCAAAGAGAGAACTTACCTGAGGAAAAAGTAAAGAAAGAAAAAGGCTTAGCTTCTATGGAAACACAGCGAAGCCACCGGTCTTCAAACAACACGGCGCCGTTTTGCACGGGAGACAAGAGATGGCGCAAGCGGTCGCGACGCCAACTGCCACCAACGAACGAGCAGAAGACGCCGAGAGCCGCCGAAGTTAGCAGACAGGGAACTGCAGTTCCTCGTTGTTACCGCGCCTGTTTTTGTTTCTGCGACTGTCGCCGCCTGCGGAACGCGCGTCGCTTGAGTCGAAAAGATTGTCTGCTAAAGACGCTGGCTCTCGGCGCCGTATGCTTGTTCGTTGGCGGCGTTCGTTGCGCCATCTCTTGTGTCCCGTGCGAAACGGCGCCGTGTTGTTTGAAGACCGGTAGCTTCGATGTGTTTCCAGAGGAGCTAAGCCTTTTTCTTTCTTTACTTTTTCCTCAGGTTAGTTCGCTCTTTGCAAATTTTACAAAAAAAAAATGCACCATCTGTGGGCAACGCTGCACAAAGTCGTAGCGCGATAGGTCAAGAAACCGAATTTTCCGGTCGATTTAAAGAGCCTACCGTCTCCTTGTTTCACCCTGTATATTAATATAAACGTAACATTATGTGCCGAAAAGGAAATAAAAAACTGGAACGAAAATATGAAAAGATTCAAGAGAATATAAATTGAAGAAGACACGTTTGCGTGGAAAGATTTACAAGTAAACATTATAAAAGGTTTATACACACCTTGTTTTAATGAAGTATTTGGAGATTGAGTTATGATTACCCAAAGTTAAAGATTTTACCTAGAGAGCAGCATATGATAATTTCAAAATAACAAAGGAGGCCAGTTGCTTCCAACCTTATTTAATGTCTTATATAGTTACGTTGTGTGTGGAACATATAAAATGGGTGACAAATATTCCGCCACACGCAAGCTTTTTTAAATTTACTCGATATTCAGTTGTAAAGAAGCTCTCCAATTCAATATTTCAGAGGATGCATTTAGCAATTCATTACGAGCCAAGATTAGATATCCACAAAGCTTGGATGTTAATTATCGCTGCGAAAACGATAACTAAATGTCTTCCTATGAGCGAGAATTAAAATTCAACTCATATAAGTGTTCTTGATTCAAATTTATACCGAATGATAGTCGAACGGGCGCAGTCTTTCCATCGCATTTATTAGACTCGGCAGACTTTAGACGATGGGCATCACTATAAGTTTTATATTTTACCAGAATCACATAATAAACTTTTTGAAATATTGCTTTTCTGGAATGCGTGGCCTTTATAGTATTGACGGCAGTTACAACTAGATGAAAAATGTTTTAAACTAATGTTTGCATTGCCAATTGACTTAGAGGTATCCCTTATAAAACATTTATATCTGGCCAGATCCGAAGATTTCAGATATGGTCAAATCAAAAATGGCCACACATAACCTAATATGGTATATCTGCCAGGTATAGCCTCATAATGCCAGATATAGTCCGATTTCCCTCGCCGCGTATGGAAATCCCAGATCTGGCTAAGTATGGCAATATTAGATCTGGCCAGACATATCAAAAGGACACAAGCCTTCAATCAGCACTTTATATGTTTTTATTGTATCCAATTCTCCTAAGTGCCCCGGCCTGCACTCGATGAATTATGGGAACGGCGGTCCTTCAGTTCCCTAGTGATCGCTAATTTTGACTAATTCCATGGCTATACAGTGTCGAATGTAATTCATAGTCACCCTGACCATGCATCCCATAGGGCTCAAGGACCTGTCATATGCATGCGATCCACCTTTCAACCTGACTGAGCTGCAGAAATCTCTTACAATATTATCATTCTTGCGATTGTTGTTTTAGCAGGAATTACTTAAAAGCCTCGAAATCACAAACACCAAGACCGGGATTTAGCTCGGATTCAGCAGAGCTGTTTGTAGCATTTTTAGCGTTTCTAACTTAATATCAGTCTCTTTGAAGCTGTACAAGAACGATGTAAGAGATATGGCTGCAGCTCATCCAGGTTCAAGGTTGGACAAAATGCACAGTCCTGACATTGGCGAGAATTGTCAAAACTGATATGACAAATACTTGGGTTCTATACACTTGTTCAGGGTGACTCCGAATTACACTCAAAACTGTGTAACCATAAATTGGTCGACATTTCCGATCGCTAGGCAGCTGAAGAAACACCGTCTCCATGATTCTTCGAGTACGGGCCGATGTGTTGGGGGGATTTAGCAAATTGCCTATTCGGGCGTAATGTTAACACTTCGAATTAATTAAGCTGTATTGAAATCCTCGTAAAAATTAGCACAAACAATCCCAAACTTAATCTTACCAAAGCTGATATTTGGGATTATTTGTCCTAATATTTAGCTCGCGAACAATGAGTCATTCACAGTTTGCTAAGAAAGCACTTTATTCTTTTTACTTTTTAAACTTTTTTATATATTGAAAATTAGCCGCCAGATAAGGCTGTATATACACCAGATAACTAAGTGTATACCTCAAATAAGGCTGTATATATGCCAGATAAGTCTGTATATATGCCAGATTAGGCTGTATTTATATTCCAGAAAAGGCTTTATATTCGCCAGATAAGGCTGTATATACTCCAGATAAGGCTGTATATAGGCTGTGTTGGAAATTGACTAGTGGAGGGCGATTCTGTCTCGCGCCTGTGACATATTTTGGTGAACGAGATCGTGTCTGGGACTGAGGACGAAGAAGAAAGGATGGCGCGTGAAGAGATTTTCGGGTTTTTGGGGCGACGAAAAAGCAGGGCAATTGTCGGGATGGATCTCACCGCGGTCATGTAAATATTAAACCAAGTCCTTTTTATAAGTCAGTTTGTGGCGACTCATTACGCAAAAGATGGTGCCGAAACCCGGGACTTCAAGCCAGGAACGACCCTAAGAAACCGTGAACGATCGGTCGACCCGGACTGACTTTCGAACGAACGACCACGTAAGAGATTCTTTCAACTGCCGGTTATTACCTACCCTGGAACGATATGGAAAGAATAAGAACGAAGAGGACGTCGAGACGAGCGCAAAACACGCGCATAATCCGAGAGGCGACCACTATTCTTCGGTCTACCGACGTGGAACAAATAGAAGCGACTCTGCGGAAACTGGACGTCAACTACGAAGAACTCAAGAAGCTCAACACTGACTTAGAACCATTTATTTCGGATGGAGATCTTGAGGCAGAGTACTTGTCAGTGATGGAGTACGAAGAACAGACAACTTCGGTTTTGAGTCTGCTTCGGAGTCGAGCGACGCAACTTCGCTCAAATGAACCGCCACGCCCATCAGCATCAGCAATTGGCTTCCACAACGAAGAAAGAGGCGAAAGGAGACGCAGCGGTGTAAAGCTTCCTAGGTTGCAGCTGCAGCCATTCAAGGGCGATCTTTCGGAGTGGCAGCCATTTTGGCAACAGTTCAAACGAGCTGTGCACGACAACGATGATCTGTCGAATGGCGAGAAGTTCCAGTACTTGAAGACGCTGGTAAACGGACCGGCGAGAGCTTCCATCGCCGGTCTCCCAGTAACGGACGCCCACTACAAGGATGCAATCGAAAGTTTGACAAGACAATTTGGAGACGCACGACTAATCCAGAAGGAGCATCTTTCGAAGCTTCGCGATCTTCAAGCTGTAACCTCCTCAACCGACACAAAGGGGCTGAGAAGGCTTTTTGGTCAAGTGCAAGCCCACGTACGAGGTCTTCGAGGGCTTGGAGTCGCACCTAACACGTATTCGACCATGCTGACAGATATTGTCATAAGTGCACTCCCGTCCGAAATCGTGGTCGACTATTACCGACGTATTGGTCACTCCGAAAGCAAGGCGGTCTTCCAGGATGGAGGAAACATGGCCTCGACACTATTTCTGCCAACGTCACTGGAAGAACGGTCTTCCTCATCCGGTACTGCGAGCACTGCGGCGCCGGCCGCGACACCAACATTACGAGTTGAAGATATTCCAACAGGCCGACGTCTTCCGGAAGGCGAATTGGAAACCCTGATGGAATACCTACTCATCGAGATCGAGAGCAGAAAACGATTGGGAGTCATCGATGATTGCCCTGAGAAGAGGAATAGCAGAGAGCAACAACAGAAACGAGCTTTCTTACCATCCTCTTCGGTTCTGCATGCCAAGGCACATGACACAAAGAAGTGCTTCTTTTGCGGAGCCACGAACCATGATACAGAGCTCTGTTCCAGTGACATCTCTTTGAAGGAGAAGAAAGCGAAGCTTTCTGG